CCGGGGGGCTCCCCCTATTTTCAGGGGGGCTGGTATCGCCCGGGGGGCTCCCCCCATTCTCGGGGGGCTGGTTGGGACCACCCAGGGGGCTCCCCCCATTCTCGGGGGGTTGGTTGGTACTGCCCAGGGGGGCTCCCCCTATTTTCAGGGGGGTTGGTATCGCCCGGGGCGCTCCCCCCATTCTCGGGGGGCTGGTTGGGACCGCCCAGGGGGCTCCCCCCATTCTCGGGGGGCTGGTTGGGACCGCCCAGGGGGGCTCCCCCCATTCTCGGGGGTGGTACTGCCACAGGGGACTCCCCCCATTCTCAGAGGGGGGTTGGTTGGTACCGCCCGGGGGGCTCCCCCTATTTTCAGGGGGGCTGGTATCGCCCGGGGGGGGGCTCCCCCCATTCTCGGGTGGGAGGGTTATTTGGTACCGCCCGGGGGGGCTCCCCCCATTCTCAGAGTGGGGTACCTCCCTGGGGGCTCCCCCCATTGTCTGACGGGGGGGTTGGTATCGCCCCGGGGCCCCCTTACCTGTTTGCCCCCCCCCCGTCCGAGGGGGAGCCGAGTACAGCCCTGCCCCCTATCCAGGGGGTTGGTACAGCCCGGTCCCCCCCGCACCACGGGATGGTCCAGCCCGAGCCCCTCTCGGCCCCTCCGAGCCCCTTTTACTCCAACAGACAAAATGGTGAATGAATCTGGACCAGCTGGAGCCGCCGGCCAATCAGCGCTCACAAACCTCTGACTGGCAGCCGCGAGGGCCAACGGACACGAGGCATGACCTGCACACGGCCCGCCCCCTTCGAGTGGCAGTAGCAGTGGCCATTGAGAGGCGAGGAGAGGCGAGGACTGTCCCAGGCTCGTCCCGCCCCTTCCCTTCGAGTGACACTTACAGTAGTCAATGAGAGGCCGATAGCGGGCAAAGGAGGCCGGGGCAGGAGGTACAGTAGCCAATAGCAAGGAAGGGGCGGGGCGGGGCCAGGCCCAGACTTGTTTACCTGGCGCTGAGCGAGGAGGAAGCGCGAGGCCGCGCCGCGCGTCATGGGAGTTGTAGTCCGCATCCCGGCACGAGTCCCGGCGCCCCCTCCCCGCGGAACCAATACGGCTCCCGGCATGCAGAGCGGCCGCTTCCCGCTCCGCGCGGGACCTGCCGGGAGATGTAGTCCACGCCGGCGAGCTCCCCCCACTACATCTCCCAGCACCCCCCGCGACCGACCCTGCGCCAAGGCAAGCCAGTACCGCACGGTGCATGCTGGGAGATGTAGTCCCCGCCGTGGCCCGCCCCATGGAGGCACCTGGGCGCCCCCCGCGGAAAGACTACAACTCCCATCACCCCCCGCGGCGGCTCCGCCACCTCCCCCCCGCAGGGCCTGGGAGCGAAACTCCAAGGGGAGAGGGCAGGAGCCCCCTCCGGACGCCCTCCTGGGGAAGGGTTATTTGCATGTCATTTGCATCTCATTAACATAATCATGCGCTCACCCGGCGGTCTCTCCCGGCCCGGTCCCGTCGCGCCTCGTCCGGGCTCCTCGCGCTTCCTCTCAGCAACAGCGGAGCCACCGCGGCCAATCAGCGCCCGGACCGGGAACCCCCCCGCCCCCAGCACACACACACACGCCCCACGTGGGGGCCGCAGGCGGGGCTGGCCACAGCCAATCCGCGACCGGGGCGACCGAGGGATGAAGTCATCGTACTGTGCCCCCATTGGCTAGGAGTGGCAGAGCCCTCGTCCAATCAGGAGCCGCCTCCGGCAGGCCAGGGAAGAAGGCGGGGCGGAGGGTGTGTGACACGCTGGAGCCTGGGAGTCACGGCCGCTGGTATCGCCCCGGCGCGCGCCCGCCCGCCCGCCGTGCATGTAATGCAACAGACAACCCCCGCGCGCACCGATGCATGCAACGCAGCCCACCCACACACCAGTGCATGCGATGCAGCTCCTTTCACACACGCCTTCCTATGCAGTACAGCCGCCCGGCACGCAGCAATGCATACGCCGCAACCCCCCCCAACACACACACCGGTCCATGCGTTGCATGCTCTGACATGCCTGCAAGGGGTTGCATGACATGCACCGATGTGTGCAGAGGTGCTTTTTTAATGCAGCCCTGCACGTGCACCAGTACATGCTATGCAACCCACCCACTGGTCCGTGCGTTGCATACAATGGTGTGTATGGGGGTTGCATTTTAATACAACCCCTGCACACATTTGCTGCATGCAATGCAAACTCTCCCACACAGGGACTGCTGAATGCTATGCAATACCCCGCTCCGCACATGCATGGGTGCACACAATGCAACCCTGTACACACAGTTGCATGGAATGCAACACCATCGCCCTGTACAGATACTGTTGCATGCAATGCAACCCCTTCCTCACACAGACACCTGGGGATGCAATACAACCCGCCCCCTCACAGACATAGGTGCATGTAATTCAACTTCCTGTGCACAGACACTGGTGCAGGCAATGCAATCCCCCTCCCCTCCCCCTCCACAGACACCAGTGCATGGACTGCAGAGAAACACCCACACAGACGGGCGCATGCAATGCAATTCCCCTATCACCACGGACAGACATCCGCACATGCAGTGCTGCTCCACCCTCCCCCGCGCCACAGAAATGGTTCATGGACTACAACTCCGTTCATCAGTCCATGGCATGTAACCTGCATGCAGAGGTAGAAGTGGCAGTGTATGCAGCACCATGTCCATCTGCTTGTTCATACACTGCAACCCCCTCTATACAGAAACACTGAGGCATGGAATGCAACCCCCTACACAGATACAGATACCTGCAACATATCCCCTGCCCGGGCCTGGTGCTTGGAATGCAACTGCCCCCACCAGTGTATATACATGCAACACTGAATGCAATGCAAACCCCAGCAGTGCATGCAAAGCCGCCCCCTCACAGAGACACTGGTGCATGCAGTGCAACCCCACACAGCGCAGGAAATGGAATCCACCCACAGTGCATGCAAGGCGATGCTCCATACCAGTGGTGGGCAGCCTGCGGGTAATCTGATTGCGGGCCGTGAGGCATTTTGCTGGCGTTGACGGCAGGTTGCCCACCACCGCCCCATACACACATACAGATACCAAGGAACGTGAGGCCACTCTCCACCCCAGAGTGAAGGCAATTCCACAGCCACGGGGCATGGCTGGTTGCACGGCAACTCACTTCCGCATGTGCGCAATGCAGCTTACTCCCCTCACACCCTGCCTCCACACACACACCCATGCCCCCGTTAGTGGAAGCCATGCAATGCACATTCTGCCCCCTGGGGTGGCTACCATAGGGGTTTGTGCTGGCCCTTTAAGAACCTGTCCCATCTTCTCTCTTATCAACCCAGGTGGGGGAGGGGGAGTTGTCATTGGGGCTAGTGCATTCCAAGGGGAGGGGTCCCATGCCCCACCCCAAGTAGGGTTGCCAACTTTCTAATTCCACAAAACCAAACACCCTTGCTCCACCCATGCCCCGCCCCTTCTTTGAGGCCCCACCCCTACCCCGCCCCTTCTCTGAGGCCCCGCCCCCCCTCCCTTCATCGCTTGCTCTCCCCC